TCTCTCTTGGAATCACTGTCTAACATCACAGCATCACAAACATTTCACTTTTTCCTCTCACCATCTTGTTTAAACTTATTTTGGGGAACTCTTCAATCCTGATGCAACCTGCATACCAACTATTGGATGGCAATATTAAGCTGTAATGTGTTTCCTAGGAAAATAACATAGTTCTGTCTTCTGGACTCACTACAGATTATGACAATGCTTTCAAATGTCAGCTCAACATATCCATACTAACTATAGATTCATAATAAATTAACTTTCCCACTTTGAATAATGATACTTCACAGGTCTTCCATTTCTCCCTAATTTCTAACACATCTCTGTCTTCTCACTTTGAACTGTGATAACTCTGCACATTTTACAAAGAAAAAAACAAGATTAGATTTAAAACTCTCTCAGATGTTCTTAGGGAGATGCCTCAGTAGTTTACAGCATTTGCTGCTCTTGAAGAGGATCCAAGTTTGGTTCCCAATACCTACAACTATTGGCTTACAATTGCCTGTAACTCTGGCTCTAGAGAATCAGATGCCTTGGTCTTTATGGACACCTGCATACACATGCACACACTTGCATGCATGCATTCACACACATGCAATATAAACAAATGGATCTTTTAAAAGCTCTCCTGGGCTCTTAAAAAGCCACCATAGAAACTTTCTATTCTATCTGCTAGGTGCTGACATGTCCCTGATCCTATATCTCTGTTCATCAGTTCCTGTTATGCTAAATACGCCCCTCTCTGATCTTTTCATCGAAAACATTTCTTTGCTCTGTTTCTATTGACTAAAATTGCATTGCCTGAGGTGGTAAGTTACTATTACTTTGCTTTTCTCAAATTCTCACTATTATTCTTTCAAGATACTTCTCCCAACTCCATTCACCCTTTTAAAAACCATCCAGCTTTTAGTAAGGAGATTGACTGGCTGTATACAACAGCTAACCTCTAAATATCTATTCAACTCAAAAAGGGGTCTTCATATAATTACTATTCTATTTATAGTCCCCTTACCCAGGTTCTTATGACACACAAATTAGCAGAGAGTTGGCCTAATTTTGATTTCTCTAAACCTATTGTTATAAATCCAACAGGAAGGCAACACTACAAGCTCCTTCTAGGAATCCTGAAGATACTATGTAATAGTGAATAGTGGCTTAAGTGATGTTTTAATATCACCAGTAAATTGCTTTGAAACTGTAAGGAAGCCTTATAAATGTAATAATAAATACTCTATAATGGTTACTAATATTAAACAAGATAAGTACTCTTGCCAGTATAAAGGACTCTGGGACAATAGAACATATTTATAAAGTATTTTTCTTACTAATATTAATAAGGCAATTAATAATGTCAACAAC